CAAATATATCTTCATTGGTCGAGAAATTAGATTTTTAATTTCATCTATAGCAAACAAGGAAGAGAAAAACATTAAGTATGATCCTTGAGGGAGGCTATTGCATGTTTTATAGGTCAGTTACACCATTTAATGTAATTTTAAAAAAACTCTCTTCCATAAAATTGGATATAAAGATAATTAGGTGACCATCTATTCTTAATTTCAGTAAGATGTTGATAATTCTGCCACTCTATAACATGTCATAAGCCTTCTAAATATCCAGACTTACAGCAGCCGCATGTTGTTTTGAGATGAATGTGTGACGTCATGGATACTCACAGCGACCACAGACACAGATTTCGTATAACAATATATTTATTAACTAAGAAAACAAAACAAATATATACACTTAATAATCTACTTACACCCTAGCTCTGATAGACCTACTATCCCCTGATCGCGGGAGCGATCCAAACCCGATTGAAGATGGTTTTGATTGTGGCATTCGCCACTCCTACTTTTGAAGCGCGCACAAAGCCTAGCTTCCGTGACCGGATGTCACGCTGGGACACAAAGTCCGTTCTGGCGCACCAACGGCTGGTTTGCCTCGATCGCAGGAGCGATCTTATCCGATGGAGAATCGGCGTGAATCGTGGCACTCAACCACTCTTCACCTCGGAGCACGCACACAGCATCGCTCCCCCGTGACCGCAGTCACCCAAGGACCTAAAGTCCGCAGGCTTCGTCAACTAGTGACCCGAGCCTCGTGAGCCTGGCTCGCATATGCACCGTCGTAGCGCCAATTTTCACCTAGGGGTATAATGTATATTATCTGTTGGTAAGTTTTCATTTTGTGTAATTACGATTGGGAAAGGATCACTTCCGTATAGGACATCAGCAGTTATTCAGTTTGAGTGATGAGCAATAGATGATGAGCATATGGTTAAATCAATGGCACTCAAAGTTCTAGAAATATTGTTAAGGTGGGTAGAAAGATTATTATTAAAAACAACTATATTTGTATCATCTAAAATTTTCATTATTATTTTCTCTCTTTTATCATCTTTATTTGAACCCCATATGTAACTGTGGCTATTGAAGACACATAGGAGAAGAAAGGGACTTGGAAGTTGGTTAATTATTTGATGCAAATTCTCAGTGTCAACGTCACAGCTGTTGGGTAAATAAATACTGCAGATACTTAGGGATTTATTTGCTAGGGAAATTTTGATTGCAAGCCATTCAAGCTTTGAGTTGATGGTAATTTGTTGGGTTATAACAGTTTTTTTAGAATACACAACTACACTTCCACTTGCTACTTTTGCATTGGTTCTGTTTTCTATGCATGGATTATACTTTTTTATGTTGTACTTGAGTCCATCTTTGTAATTTGTTTCTTGCAGGTATATGTCTGTATTTATTAATTAAAATTAATAAATTCTCCTTTTGTGGTCTATGGCCATTGATGTTCCACTGCATGATGTGGTAAATCATTGATTAGGTTAATTAATTAATTTGCTTTAATTCTTCTATTGTGTCTGTACAGTATCTTCTATCCGTAGAGTTATTCATTAATTAATTGACTAAAGGTTTTCCAAACTAGTATCAGCATCAGATGTTTTTTGATGTGTAATACTACTATTTTTTAGGTTTTTTATTATCCTATTTTTGATGGATCTTTCAGTTTAGGAGTGGGTATGTTTCATTCATCATTAGGGTAATTCCTTCAATATCATTGGAATTAGTTTTTGCTATTAGAGCAGAATCAGTGGCTCCAAATGAGTTTTCTAAGAATGATTTAAATTGCAGGTATGTTACGGGAAATTTATGTAGGTTTGACTCAATTACATTTATAATAGGAACAAAAAATTCATCAACAGATTTTTGAGGTAAGATTTTTGGAAGAGAAACTTCAACAATTTTATTCATTTTCTTTTTTCTTAGGTTGATTTTGACTATTTCAGAATTAGAGTGTACATTATTGCGTAATGGTTCTTGTTGGGAAGATTCAGATGGAAGGCTCTTGTTTAAGCTTGAAAAATGAGTACTATCCCCAGATGTAGGTACAGGAGCCAGTCTTTCAACTGGGAACCTTCTGGTTACCTTCGTTGTCTGTTGGAATTACTTGTTGAATTGTTATGTCCATTTCTTTTGAATTCTCTGGATTATGTTCAATGTTAATACTTACTGCAGGTTCTTTGTTGGAGGGACTGAAGGGCATTCTCTAGCAAGATGACCTTCCTGTTTGCACACAAAACAGACCATGTTATCTGCCGAAATGAAAATTCTGTAAGAGGTGCCTTGAAAGTATACTAGTAGTCTCCGGTAAGTTATTGGCTGTATCTGGGTCAATACAAACCTATAGACGAAAGCTCAATATGTGTTGAAAACCTGGCTCAAATAATACGCCTTTGAGGAAAGATATTTGTGGTCATTCTAACCTTGCATTTTTCAAGTTTTGAAAAATAATATGATGCGGAGTAATAGGGAAAGCATTAGAGATAATTACTCTAGTATGCGGTTGATTAGTGGACTATCATGTAGATGTTGATCTTTAATTGTAATCGTCTTGTAGGACGATTGAAATTAGACGTAGGAAATTTTCAGAGGTGAATTTTTCGGCTTCATGTTTTGACGACAAAAATAAGCTGATTCTATTGTTGAAGGTTCTGGATACGAATTACTTGCCTTCTCAATACCACACAAATACATACACCAACTTGGCTACAAAGGTAGTGTACTTTTTGATAGAGATGCCGTCTTTCGCTTCTATTACGATGGCTTGTTCTTTCTTCGGAAAAAATCAGTACTTGTTGCTGTTGCGTAAGCCTGTTTCACACGGACATTGCATCCTTTTTTCATCATTTTTCTGTACAGAAAGTGGATGGAAAAAAGACGTTCGTTTCTACGCGTAATGTTTCGGTGCCGAAACTGGATGAAAGTCATTCCAGCGTTTTACATGATCATTTCTGGTCTTTGTACGTAACCGTGAGAAAATACTTCCTCTGGACGCCACAAAAAGCGCTGAAGATCTAACATTTGAAGCATCTATGGTTAATTTAGGTTATATTTGGACTGAGCAGGGAACACGGTGACATTAGAACACAGTACATGTTTTATTTCTCACTACACAATCATATTACATTACAATTCAACACATCAGAACGCTCTCGAAACTTCAAAATGAACAAATCGCACCAAACACATGACAAACCAGAGAAAGTTCCGAAAAGTGACGCCAGGAGCGCGGTAGTCAAACTGGATGAAATCTGTGCTGAAAAATGAAGCATGTGTCATTTTTTCGTACAAATTACATTCAGTCTGGTCTGTCTCTTTTCTGTATCGGCGAAAAATGATGAACAAAAGATCGTGTAATAACAGGCTTACGATTTCTTATCCATAAGGGACATTTTATGATAAAGAGTTTCCTCTGTAGTCAGAAGAATCTTTTTGTAGCTAGACACTTAAAAAGCAGCAACACAGTAGTTATTACAATTTTTGTTGAGTAAATAACTCGCGACACAATCGTTCATTTAACCGTCTCTATAACACGTTTCGGTAGAGCTGGTCAGGTTAACAGCGAGCATCGGGCACTTCCGCACAGCTCGGCGACCAACTTCTGACTGAAGAAAATCTTATTTTTGTAATTTTATAAAATTGCACGTAATATTGCGAGAAAGCGACTAAAATTTTCAAAACAATGTACATGACCTTAATGAAAAAACAAATTATGGACAACAAACTTTATTTCAAGAAAAAATCTCTATCTTTAATTTTGTAGTTGTAGGAAGACCCCGACAAAAAGTCAAACTTATAAAAGTTTTGAAAATGCAGAGTTAACCGTGAAAATCAGACCTATGCCATCTTTATAAGCGTATTTCACTGTATTCTTTCATTTTGTTCGAAGAAGTCAGTCCAACATTTTAAAGAATGTTTTTCAAAATCTCAAAGCTTCGACCTGATGGACAGGGATTTCTTCAATTTGGAAAAGAAAAATTACGTATGGTTTAGATGCGAGTAGTGTTCACAGACGGACGGACAGATTTAACCAATTATTTTGAAATTATAAAATTTGTTTGATTATTATTTTCAGTAGGTAAGCTTTCGCCTGTACTTGATTCATATTTTAAATAATTTATTAACAAAGTTTTATCCAATTTTGCATTACTATATTAAGCATTTATAATTTCAATGTACATAATATTTCAGTATACATTGAAAAAGAAACCAAAATAGGTTACGAAAATTGGGTAATAAATGTTAAAATACAAACAAACTGACTGACTGTAAATAAATCCCGGACCAGTCTCCTATTGTACATAACTCTTTGTAATAGAGGGAAATAATCTAAAACTACCGTGTCATCAGCGCAATTCACATAGTTATTTCCCACATAATTCTCAAATACACCATAATAATTTTCATATATTTCTCGTGATTTTATTGGAAAACTGCTTTATTAGCTTCTATGAGAATTTCCGCAGGAACCTCACAATAGTCTTTTATTTTGTACGACGAAATCTGATCAACAACGATTACGCAATAGTAATTAGATACACACATTAGATCACAAAACATATTTTCTTTATCTGACATCATGTTGACAAATGACGATTACAATGCGTCTTTTCACTTTAGACGTAAGGAAATGTATAAAATGTTTCGACTCCCCGTTTTATTCAGCAACCATTGCATTTTTGTATGTACCACGGGCGTTACTAGATGTGTTTGCCCCTCAGGCGACTTCTAACCCCTTGGGCCAGAGGCTCTCGGGTTTGCAAGTCGCCCTAGGCGCAAAAGCATCTACTTAACGCTCTAGATACATAAATAACTATTGCGAATGATGGAATCAGAAATATGTCGCCTGAATTTTGTCGTCTTTTTCCTGGTGTGCACTTCCTCGTGAGTCGGACGTAATGGCCGAGAAGCTGGTTTGGCGACGGCGATGGTCGATGGCTGAGGCAGGAAGGAAGCAAGGGCCGGAAGCGGAAACCGCAGCGGGGGCCAGACTCGCCACAGCGCCGTCAGTCGCGCCATGGCTCCCCGCCGCCCAGTCACCATCTCACGGAATTTCGTCCCCTAGGCACGTCTCTCTTTAGATGCTGCTTGATCCGAAGAATTAGTAGCTGCACCCGCACACGAAGCACTAGAAAATGGTCGCGTGATGAGTGCAGCCGCCATGTTGTCGTGTGCGGTGCTCGCGATGCTTCTGGGGAGCGTGTGGTGTCACCAGTGCACGATTCACCAGCACATGGCAGAATACGAGAAGCACACCCAGTGCAGCTACTGCACCTACAACAGTGAAGCCGAGGCCAAGCCCGAGCTGTTGTGGGCGACGACCAACAGCGCCGTCCTTCGCGCGCGGGTGTGCGGCTGCTGGTGCCGCCATCAGACGTATTGGTACTATCGCAATGTCACGATCGAGGTGAGACCTCTGCGAAAGGCGAGGAAGTCATGTTTGCTGACGTGTAAATAACGTAAAGCCAAACACGAGGAGAGGGGGTTTGAGGCAGCGTTACGCTACGTTTAACAGGGGTAGAGGAGTGAGCTGTTACGTAACACTATTTTTTTTAACATTTGCTGAAATAATTCCTTTTTCTTCGGTGTTATATTAAAACATTAAAATATGAACTAGTTCCTTTGTGAAAAATTAAATACATTAAAGTGATTATGTGTCAATTATTACAGTAAATATAAATATGTTTCATTCATTTTTATTTATTTTGTAAAATTACGAAGAAAATATTCAAAACTTACCTATATTATAGAATCCCATTAAATTGGCGTAGTAGACTCTCCCCAAGCGATATCCACGAGGACAAGTGAACTGCTTTATTGTCAAAAATTTTCAGGTCTATGCGTTCTTCCTTCACCTAAAACTTGTCCCCAATCTAATTGTTTGGTATATATCACTAATTCTGACTTTAACTATCACAAATTTATATAAAACACAAAAAATAATGCAAATTGTTGTTACCGTGATTTAATTTCTTTTAAATGCTTGTGAATGGAGTAGGGGGTGTTGCCACGAGTGTTACGTAATTTATGGACGGCCCCTAATTGCTTTTTGATTATTTACTCTCTGTGTTTCTCTCTGTCTCTCTGTGTTGCTCTCTCTCTCTCTCTCTCTCTCTCTCTCTTCGATTTCTTTCCAATTTTCACTTCATGTATGCTCTGCTTGTATTCACTTCACTTTACACTGCACTTTGTACTCTGCCACTGCACTTCCTCCAGGCGCTGTTTAGATTAGAGAAAAAATAGTGATTTTCTGAGGGCGTATTGTAACAAAAGGGAGATCGCTCGATGACGTGATATCGCCAGCGTTAGCTCAAGGCCAGCATTGCCGTTGTCACTCCAGCGACTCCTGGGGTTCGAGTCCTGGGGTTCGAGTCTCGGCGGTTTGCAGACTTTTGGCACTAACTTGATAGCTACTGTTTAGAGGAGACATTTAGTGACCGGCTGCTCTCAACTGTAGTTTTCCGTAGCTTCTCTGATCAATACCAGGCGAATGCCGGAGCAGTGCCCTAACAAATGGATGACAGACCGCGCACGATCTTCCTTCCACTTTCTTGCCGTATCCTCACTTACAAGTACATACACTTACACCTACATATTCTACAATATTACACATTCCGGGAGACCGGTCGTGAGCTTAGAGCTTGTCCCGGTTGGGGTGGTGCCACGCTGGTGGGAGATACCTGGTTAGGGATAATCCCGGTAGGTCGGTGCCGGATCTCACTATCTCGGGGGGGGGGGATCACTGGCACCCCCGAGGGAATAATACACTACACGTACGCGAGTAATTATCTTGGCAACTGACGCGCCCGGAATCACTATCCAATCAATCAAAATTGAAGGCCAGCGCCAGGATGGCCAGCGCCTACGCAGCGTCCTGCGGTGTAAGCCTGTGACGTTTTCTGTGAATCATTGCGGTTACAGCTGGACACAAAGACACCCAGTTCCGATCGTTCTCGGCGCCGAGACAAGCGCGCCGAGGCCAGCGCGCTGAGACCGTTTTGACCGAGAAAGGAAGTTCCGGCATTGTCATTATGGAGAACGGACCGTACCGAAATAGAAATATTATGTTATGTATCCTCCTTGTCCGAACAAAACGCAACAAAAGAAAACGAATGCTAGAGGTGTCACCAGTTATCTCGACATTGTTAATTTCCCCAGCTTCTCTATTAAATGTCTTAAACGTATTATTGATTCAACTTTCAATGGAGCATGTTAATTGAACTATGTGTATAAAATAGCATCATCTGCTCTCCTACAACGGAAACTGAATAAAAATTCTATCGCGCAAGGCGATAAATATTTTATAATATTTACAATAATTATTATAAACAGATATCTTACGAAACTTTTAAGAAACGCTTTCTTCTTATACCATTAAATATTAAAATTGCATTTTTATTATCAACAATAACTTTAAACTTCTTTTCTCTTGAAACTTAGTTATTTCTTTCTTCCCTACTACGTACTGTATATAAGAAATGAAAATAATTACTGTAAAACTCCGGAGATTTGCAGCAACTTGGTGATATTTGGTCACAAAATTCTGCATTGTGTATCCCTGACGCCATTACGCCACAAATGGGTAATTCTTGCTGATATATGCTGTATATTAAGTTTTCTCCGACTACTCTCTGGAGTTCTGATGTACACATTTCTGCGCGTTATCGGATGCAGTGATGATGACGATTCAACAAGCCATGCGAGAATAATATTCAGAGAGTTCTCGCAGTCATCTAGAGAGGCTCTGTATGGTCTGCCGAGGCGGATCGCAAATGTCGTAAGACAAATGAACTACGAAACAGTATGCGAGTTGATGTTTATTAGGGTCAGAGAACACTGAGTGCTCTGTAGCCGTTCTGTAAGGTTAAGATGCTCATTTAGTATTTTTAAAACATCAATTTCAAAGTCGTAGAGAAAATACTGTAGTCTTCTACTCGCGCAGAATGGATATTATTCACTCGGAGAAATTCCGACACATGCCCCTACGTCACTCGTGTTGTAAATATCAACTCGTGTATAAGACTATCATTCTACGCTCGTATATACGTTGTTTATGCAGAACGAACGTTTTGTGGGTCTTTGATACCGAATATTTGGTTTGTTATAACGCCTGTTGGGCCGTTAGTCAGACTACGCGTCTGTTCGCCCGTCTGTCTGTTGCCGGCCCGTCCGCCACCCCGTCCCGTCGGTCTGCCTGCCCGTCCGTCCACCTGTCTATCCATCCGTCTGTCTGCCCACCCGCTTATCCGTCTGTCTATCCGCCCGTCTGTCTGCCCGAACGTCTGTTCACCTGCTCATCTGTCCGTCCGTCCGTCCGTCCGTCTGCTCGCCTGTCTGTCCATTCAACTGTACACCTGCTCGTCCGTCCGTCTATCCGCCTGTTTAACCGCCTATCCGTCCGTATGATCGCTTATCCATTCATTAGTCCGCCCGTTCTAAGAGAAAAGACCTGTTCTAAAAGGCAAGATTTTTATAACATGAATATTAAAATACCTAACTATACATATCTAAATATTAAATGTTACTAACCTCATTTTGAAGATTCTTTTATTCACCATTCAACTATGAAGGTACAACAAAAGGATGGTGAATGTTTTCTGGATCTTCAGGAAACGTGCGGATATTTATATCCATACCCCATATACGTCACATACAGTTTTTACTGAATAATTTTGACGAAAATAAATCAAATGAAAGGTACTTCTTAAAATCTTAATATTTTCGGCATCTTCAGCTACAATATTGATAAAGGAGATTTCTACTTTTCTTACACGTACGTATATACGGAGTAATGCATACGGATTAAAACGTATATACGGAGTATAATTTACGTAGAATGGAGAGAGTTATGTAATGCTGCGGAAAATAAATTACAAATGATTGATTATTGATTTTGGGTGCGTCAACAGCTAAGGTTGTCAGTCCCGTAAGAGTAGTGCATGCTAATATCACGGTGGATGGCTATTATCAGGTGGAGGTGATTTTCCCTGACTGAATGGCAAGATCCGACGCAGACCTACACGCCAGCTAGAGTGATTTTCTCAACCTGACATCTCTCACCAACGGAGAACCGCCCCAGCCGGGACAAGCTCGAAGCTCCCGATTGTTTGGTAGTGAATTTATGTAAGTGTGTATGTAAGTAAGAGTTGAAGATAGGTCAAGGAAAAGGAAGGAAAGATCGCGCGTGGTTCGTAGTCCGTTTTTAGAGTTCCGGCATTCCCGTGGTGTTGATCGGAGAAACAAAGGAAAACTACCGATTAGAGCAGCCGGCCGCTAGAAGTCCTTCCAGACAAGAGGCTGAATTCGACCTACCCAGTGTCGAAAATCCTGCCACTATCGGGTCTCGAACTCAAGAACCTCCGGTGAGAGGCGTTGCAGTGATATCAACTGATGCCCTGAGTCACCTAAGCCGGAAAAATATATTACGAGTTTTCAACGCAAATACAGATTTGGAGAGTCCTGGTACCGAAAAAGTAGTTGTCTTTTTTAAATCGTCAGTCCGTCTGTGAACAACACTGGCATCAAACCTTTTCGAAGAATTTTTTCCAAAACTAATATTCCCGGTCGAGCTATCCCGACTCAAAACTCTGAAATTTTGTAAACATTGTTTAAATTTTGGGGGTACTTTACATATAGCCCCTGAAACATTTTCAACATTTTCTTTAGAGTGAAACAAAAAATAGTGAAATACACTTACAAAGATGGCATGTTATCGATTTTCATTGTGATGTTCTGATTTTTCAAAAATTGCAAAGTTAGAACACATTTCTGCCTCTTTTTACAATTACATGTAAGAAAACGATTTTTAATTCAAAGAAACATATTCTCCATAATTATCTCTACCGTTTATGCCATGTACATATTTTTGAAAATGTTGAAAGTCACTGCACAGTTGTGAGTGAAAAATGGAGAATATTAATAAATAGGAAATACAAGATGTTCTCAAAAACGGTTCCAAATTATTATACTTTAGGTAGGGGTGCACTGTATCAGACGATAAACGTTAATTTCCTGAATTATTTTACTTAAAAAAATCACAAATGTAATTTCTTAACAATCCTCTCATGACGTTAATATTTAAACTATCGATGATTCCTCCATACATTATGGCCTTTGTGAGAATGAGTGGTTCAAAAGATAACTTATAAAATTTATCGGAAACTCAATTGTTTTCTGCGAAACTGAGCTCAGAATTCCCTTTTTTAGAAACGCTTAAACGCTATTTTCTCAAAAACAGCTTCAAAATTTAAAAAAAAATTTAAGTACTGGATGAATGGCACAAATGTCCCTTTCATGTATTCTTTTGCTTTTTCGAAATATATCTTGTGGCGTTAATATTTACATAATGGGCATTATATAACCTTATCACATTTATGAATAAAATTGCTTCAAAAAATTTCTGATGAAGCTCCTCAAAAACCCAAAACTTTTCGATAAAAATGCATTTCAAATGCGTATTTTCAGAAACACCTAAACATTTCCTTAAAAACGGCTCCAAATGTTTCTACAAAGTGTGCTAGTAGGACTAGAATTTTATCCTTGTGTAATATTAATGAAATGATATTCCAATTCTACTGATTCAATTCCAGGGATTCGATAAATTAAGATACCGTGAAAAATATATTTAATTCGTCAAAAGATGGCAACTGAGAGGATCGGGCAAAATCTACTAATAGATAGCCCAGACTGAAAAAATGAGAAAACTAGTACAAAAAAGTCGGTAACATTCTGTTTGCGAAAAATCGTTCTCGAGGTTTCAATAGAAAAACACGTTTTGGTGTCCTTTGTTACAGCAAAGGTGTTTTTTTAACACCTGCCTCCGTCTGTCTGTCCACCTGTCTGCCCGTGTGTGAATAACGCGAGAGCCTAAACTATTCGTAGGACTTTTTTTCTAAATGAATATTCCCCGGTCGATCTGGGCCGACTCGAAGCTCTACCATTTTGAAAAAAAACATATAAATTTGGAGGGTAGTTTAAATGCAGACCCTGTGGTAATTTTAATATATTCTAAAAAAGGTCTAATTTTTTAAATTTATATTTATTATATGAATAAAGTGATATACGTACTCTTCGAATGAAGATGATCAATGTTACCAGATTATCAGACTATCAGATTTTCAATGTTGACTCTAAATTTTCGAGAATTGCGTAAGTTTGAATTGTTTTAGATGTCATCCTGTAATTACAATATTGGCGTTAGACTGTTTCAAATTAAATTTGTTCTCCAGAATCAGTTTTTTAATTATTGTCATGTACATTTTTTTGAAACTTTTAGCACTTTTCCCTTAAGTGTGAGTGAAAATGGGCATTATTAAAAAATATTAAATCAATTTTTTGTCAAAAACGTCTTCAATTTTCTTCTTTAAATTTTTTTCTACAGGTCGTAAACGCAATTATGCTGTATTCTTTCGTTTTCTAAAATGTACTTTAATATAACGTTTTGACATCTCTTTCATGTCGTTAATATTTACACTATCGGCGATTTGTGTAAATTGTATTTTTAAGCACAAAGATTTTAAAGAATATTTCAAGTTTGTAAAAAATTATAAAGTTTGGTGTGAAAATTAACCCCAAATTGCGCATTTTCAGAAACACTGAAATGCCATTTTATTGAAAATGTCTCCAACTTTTTTGCATTATTATGCTCGGATAATGCTAAATGCACTCTATACCAGGACATTATTGGAATTTTATTTCTTGTTTTGTTTCTGAAAAAAATATTTTTTTTCTTTAAATATTCTACACTTCATTAATATTGTGGCGTCGTGGTAGTTAAATGAATAGCCAGGAACTAAAGTGGTCTGTGGTCTGTGTAGCACAATGTGACTTATACCACTTGAGAATTGACCAACATTAAAACTATCTGCCAATACTAAAGTGACTTTTATTATGCGACACCTACAACGACAAATGACACATAGACCACTTTAGATTGCATAGATGCTCACCTGTCCAGATCAAATTTATCATAACCTGGATTTAAGCCGACATGCCATAGAACACTTTAGTTCCAGGCCAGCCACCCAGTTTTTTCCAAATTTTCAACCGTAATATCTCTGTTGTGGGCTCAGATAAAAATCTAAACATTACACACATGCTAGATCGTGTAATAAGAAACGTCAGAACAAATTTCAACTTTTAGATTTAACTCGATTGTAGATTTAGATTTAACTCAGTATTTTTTTTTAAAAATTGTTAACTTCCGCAAAAAAAGGCTTTATTTATACATTGAGGATACGTTGAGCCAAGTAGTAATCATATTATTTTGAAGTTATTTTAAACTAAAATCTACATTGAATTAAAATAGTTAGTTATACTTTATTATATATAAACAGAAAAGTGTCCTAATATATATTCTTCAATATTACATATACTTCACTTTACTACAAACTTACAACTTGACACGTACGTTTGTTATTGAAAATATGGTCGTCTTGATTTTTAAAGATAAACAGGCTAATATAAAATTGTTTATGTAAAATAATAAGTAAATGTATTCAGCGTTTTTTTAAATTTGCTATTCTACTTATTATTTCTGATCGTTTCTGCAGAGATACGGTCAGTTGCACAATACTCCATAGTTTAATCGCATTCATGTATCTCTTGTTTCTTTGGTCCTAAGCTATCAATTCCTCTGAAAGCCTTTTTACTTTATCTTTCTATTCTCTGTCACTGATTAAAAAATAAGGTATTGCCTTTACAGAAAGTTCAAATATGTTTTCTTATTCTTATTTATTTTACTAGAATGAACGAGTGTATCGTCTGAACACAAATGAAAAGAAATTACTTACATCTTGTTCCAATAAAGACTATTGCGAAATCTATGGGAGCACTGGATCTAACGTGATGGTGTATGTGGCGTTCTATAATTATAATACTAACTCCACGCCACTTGGTAATGGAACGTACGTCCGCTTTTGCCCAGGTGAGTGCAAATATGTTATTATTTAAGCCGGGAGAGGAATACATAAGCGGTGAAAGTGTTTTTCGAAATTTCGAAAGACCTCTTTAAGTACATCATTATTAAGCTGTTTTTTCCATCTCAATAGTGTTTTCAGTTCTATTCAGCAGTGTAATCGTGCGCTGGAAAACGGTGATTTTTTTTTCGACAAAAATACTCTTATGGTCGTGCACTGATGAAAATGAGGATGTACCTCTTTTTAAAAAAATATTTAGTCGCATTAACAACTTGTTTATTAGGAACTACTATTTCTGTTACTTAATACAATACATCAACAAAATCAATAAACATACAACAATATAACTGACAGTACAATATTTCAATAGTAACAATGCAAAAATACTTACTACATTTATTGTATTTAAATAAAAAAAAGGCTTTTTGCTCCCGAGAAAGCTAAGTAACTGACCACGCTGACATGAAAGTTTCACCAAATCACTGCTGATAACGAAAATACTGGTACAGGTAACACACAAACCAAACCTAGTAACAAGACACGTCTTCACTCTTCACTGTACACCCACATCCCCCTACAATTAAGTACACAGCACTTGTAGACCTTCACAAAATGTTAAATGAATGTTTTCAGTACACGCATAAGAAACAATCTTCATGGGAATCAAGCAATTATTAATCGTACTTATTGTTGCTGCTAGAGCGAATTTTGAATTAATATTTATGCAAATAAACCTCGTCAGTTTGCACAAACCACGGTGTACACAGAAAGCGTAAATTGTATAAGATAGAGATATCCAAGAATAGGTCCAAGGGTGGCATTGATAGTATCGATAAGTGCTGAACCAGTAAATAATTAAATGAATGTCCAAGAATAGGTCATCCTATAGATTACGGTGTGAAAAATGTTTCTTTGAGGCCTTTGACCTCAAAATTTTAGTTTTAAAGGCCCTAGCACACTTTGTTTAGGTGTTATTTAACGACATAAATGATTGAGTGCTGCTGGTTGCATTTGATATAAATATTTAGATGCGCTTTTTGAAACAAATGTCCTAGTTTTAAAGTCAAAGTTCAATTCGTCACGTCTCCGTGAAATTTTGTTTTTTAGAGTCTTTATTTATAAATATTGGTTGCGGTTGAAAGCCGCAAAAGGTATGTATACTACTGAAATAATATAGGAGACGATGTATACGTTCAACGCCCTTCCAGCTTCAACTAAGCTATGTTAAGTAGGACGCCTATGTTATACGCCTATGTCAAGTAGGACGAACGGGCCACAAAAACTGAACGTTGCGCCATCCGCCATGTTCATTGCAACAAGCACGCAAGTACTCATTTCCCTAGCATTTATCCATGGAGTAACCTGATTTATGGACGTTAGTCTCACAGTTCGATCACTAGATATCGTTACTACTCGGTAATAGTCGGTACTAATTGCGAGTTTTTTCAGAATAATTGAGCAGTTTGATACGCAATTTTTGTATTTCATCACTTAATCCGATTCATGCCAGCTTTATAAGTATATTTTACTCTATTTTTACAATAAATTTAAAGGAAAAAATTGGAGCCGTTTTTGAGAAAAGTTTGAAAATTTCAGGGAGTTTCATTTAAAATACCCCCAAATTTTTCAGAAAGTTTTTCAAAATCACACCGCCTTGAGTGGAGCCTGATCGCCCAGGGAAGGTCCATTCAGGAAAAAAATCCTACATATGCTTAAGGCACTAGTGGTGTTCACAGACGGACGGATTGGCAGACGAACGGTCAGACGGACGGACGTACGGGCGTGTTAAAAATACACTTTTTCGGTATCAGGGGCCAGTGTATTTCCGTTGAAATATCTAAATCGCAGCATTATATTTCTTTCCTTATAATACTTATATTACTCTGTATAATAGGTACGTGTAGAGGAAAATAATCCCTACACTACGTATATTATATATTTAAATATATTAATATACTGCATATATTGATATATTATATATTAAATATTATTATATTATAATACATATACGGGAAAGAAATAATATATACAAATTGTTGGAAATATGCATATTCATGGCGTCAAATATATTTCAATAAACTTTCATTTGTGATACTTTACGTGCAGTATTTTAGGTGGCATAGAATTAATTTTGCTGTATTTGTTTTTCCAAAAATTACAATAATGTAATTTTTTTTGAAAAACCACTCAACTCAAAGAACCCTGTTAATATGCATATTTTCAGCAATTTGTAATTGTATTTGTAAACAGTGAATTTGTGAGCTAAAGTCCTTCAATTGACTTCTGACGTTTATCAAAAACTCAAAAAATGTCTGTAAAATAGAGCTTCAAAAGTAATTTGGGTGGCGATAGATAGCGGCTAGCAAGAAAATGTGGCAAATCCGAATAGCTACTCAAGACCAACGGAAATAGAAAACTAACACGAGAAAATCTGTTCCATTCATTAGAAGTACTAGTTCAATTTTCCTCTTAAGTGTACTAAAAGGCAAATTGAAACTGGTCTTATTAGTGCCAAATGTTTCATCGTAATCTTATGTATAATCAAGTTGATATGTTTGTAGAAAAATTAGTAATAAATGAACGATAATTTTTTTCTATCATACCCTATTGGTTATTGTTCATACTATGTTCTTGAATCAGTAAACATTTATATAAACAAGAACAAAAAGAGTTTAACTTTCTAAGAAAGAAGTTGTGCAGTTGAGATTTTTCATAATATGTTCGATATAAGACAAGAAAAGAAAATGTGTTCCCCGAACTTTGTGGAGGTATGTCAGTGATTTAATGAAAACAAAAATTCTTTTCTATTGTCGATTTTAACTTTCTCGCTACCGCTTACGCAGTACGGAGAAAGTTATCTAATGCTGTACGAAAAACCTTTTCGGCAGAAAAACTCTTATGGCCGGTCCTGATAAGGAAAATCCAGTTGCTAAAATAGGGAGAAATCCTCAAACACATGGTGAAGCCAGAATCCATGTTTTGTGGTTCTTGATACTGAAAAATCTATTGACGGCAAAACACCCGTCTGTCCGACGGTTTGTTGTATATAAACAACAATAGCGCCTAATCTATGCCTACTATGTTTTCCAAACTGAATATACCCCTGCCTTTCCTCAGTTTTCCAAACTGAATTTGCCCTGAGTCAAAAACTCCGCGATATTAAAAATATCATTAATTTTTGGGTGAACTTCAATTGAAACCCTTGGGATATTTTGAAAATTTTCTCAAAAAAGCTCTAATTTTTTTCTCTACGTTTTTCGTAAAATAAAGTAAAATACACTTATAAAAATGAAGCACAAATTAGTATATCAAATTCCTGTTTTTTTCAAAAACTTTTACATGACCTTTTTAAGGAAATTTTCAAGGCAAACATCTCTTCAATTTTGTAGTTTTTAAATGATGAAATTTTAAAATTTTCGATAATAGAGTGATTGCTAGAAATGGGACTAGCGCCATTTTTTACCGTTGTAATACAAGGAGAAAATTTAAAGAAAACATAGAGTGGTTTTGAAAAAAATTCTAAATAAATTAAAAACTACCTTCGATTTCAGGCAAAATTCCGCGAAAACTACACATATTTTTGTAAAATTGTACGTGACTACTTCAAGTTATATCTTTAAAGAACAGATTTTGCTATGGAAAAATATATTTTTTTCAATTTTGTAGTTGTAGGAATACGCCGAAAAAATATTTTTTTTAATTTTCGAAAAAATTGGTATATTAACGAAAATCAGACCTGTACCATTCTCTCAGGCGATATTTACAGCATTAGAGAACGAAATTTAATTTAAAAAATTGAAGCCATTTTTGAAAAAAAATTGAAAATTTTGTTGAGACTTCATATAAAGAATGTGAATGCCTTTCGGCAGAGGTAAAATGAATGGTATGCTATATATATATATATATATATATATATATATATATATATATATATATATATATAGCGTGCGTGCGTGTGTGTGCGCGCGTGTGTGTGTGTGCGTGTATGTGTGTGTGTGTGTGGTAAGGAGTTGCACTACAGCTGTCGCCGTTTCTCCGCCCTCAGTCTCCATGCCTCTCTATTGGACCATACATCATCTTGCATTTCTCTTGCCGTCATAGCCTCTTGCACTCCCTGCTGCGATGCAAGTCTGGGTCTTCCTCTCTTCTGTCTTTCTGTAGGCACCCATTTCAGGACTCGTTTTGGCCATCTTTCGTCCTGTCCATATTAATTTCAAGTTCTGCTTTTGAAAAGTGTTTATTGAGTTTACGGATCATGAAACTAAAATCGTCCGCATCTTCTGCAATTACTACCTGGTCATCTGCAAAATATAATGTAAACAATTTATCCT